AAGCTGAAGCAAGATACTCAATTGATTGAACAATTAGCAGATAGAGGATTTTTTAGTAGAGAATATTTTTAGAATTAGCAAAAATGTTAGCTCCTTGTATATTATGGATTTCAGATCTACATGAATTTCATGCAAAACACAATTCACACAATCAACCAGGCAAAATATATGATGCTTCATTGCTTTTAACTATTTTGCTGAAAATTATGGGGAATGATCTTTTGCCAGAACGTCAAAGTAATATTACTTTAGTCGGATCTAGTCATAATCCTGGTTTATTAGATCCTAAATTTGTATCCAGACATCGACTAGACTTAATTATTAACCTTCGAAAATTGTCTTTTGGTCAACGACAAAAGATATTTGCTAATTTATTAAACCAAAAGAAATTATATATACAAGGCAAACGTTCTTTCTATGAATTAGGAAGTAACAGTATAGGATATAATTTGAGAGACATTGCAGGTTTGGTTAATGAAATGTTATTAATTAAGACAACAAATTGTACAAATGTTATAGATACAGATATAATAAGATTGTCTGTATACAGACAAATTTCTAAACAAAGTGCTAATAATAGAATTTTAGAACACCAATCCTTACAATATAAAATTGGAAAAGCTATAGTACAAAGTACACTGGTTGCTCCAAAACCAATATTCCCTCTAACTATTAGACACGATTTATGGAAAACTAGGTTTTACTATTTATCTAATGCTTTCTTGGAATTTGCATTTGAAAAGTCAACTGTTACAGAATTCGCAATATTAACTCACATCGTAAACTGTTTAGCTGGTTCAGCCGCTCGAGATGCCTGGATTTCATATAAAAGAAATTCTCCTACAAAAAGTATATATCTTAATAAACAATTAAAACATGATTTGTCAATAGCTTCTAGTATTTTACAATCTCTACTCCTTGAATTTCCGATGCAAGATATTAAGTCTTTACCTTGTGTTAATAAATATGATATTTTATCGAATTTCCGAGGAAAATATAAGATTAATCTATTTGAAAAAGCTACATCTTCTTTAAAATTTTTCAATCGATTTACTAGTTATATTTATTGGAGTTATAGAATACAACGTTTAAGTTTAAGTTGGAATCTATTGTTTGATAATATTAAAAAGAAGAGAAAAAATATCATTTTAGAATCATCCTCTGATGATATACAAAATAATATTGATACGAAAATATTAGATGATGATCTTGAACAACATTTACCTTATGAAAGAAGAGTAATAAAAAGACAAGAAAAACGTACAAAGAAAATTCATTATTCTTTTAATGAAATGGTGTTTGATTCCAATTTAAAAAGTATGGGATTACCGTGGGCTTCTGAATATGTAATAGATTATGATGCATTACAATTATCAATTTTATTGTTAGAAGCACGACCCATATGGAATCCACCTGCATTAACACCCGCTTATTCCATTTTATTCTTTGATAGAGATCTTCTCATTAGCAAAAATATTCTTACAAAACTTTATGTTACATATGGAGAAAAATTTCAAAGTGAAAAACTAAACCCAAAACGGATTAAAAAACAAATTCTTTGGCCAGATGCTAAAATTCATAATTCTAATATTAATGAAAAATCAGCAAAACAAGAAGAGAAATTTGATGGTGATCTACAGGATTTTCATTATTTTAGAAAAATGGCAAAAGCTAACGCTCAACTAGAACAATCACAATTACAGGCACCTATTTATTTATATCAAGGATGGACCAGTACTGATTATGAAGATAATTGGCGTTCTTCCGATTTATTACATCATAGAGAAACTTTAGTTAATGAAAAGCTACAATCGAGAGAATTACTAATTTATGGTATTCTTTTAGAAATTTATCATTCTTTATTAAAGTTTTTTATTAGTAATTATTCTTTACTTAGTAATATCGAATTCGCTTTAATGAAGAAAGGAACTTTAAATCGTGAAGATATAGAAAGAACTATTCATATAGCAAAATTTTGGTCATAAAGAGTTAGATCATAAATTCAACATTAGTATACAATTCGGGATTGACGGGATTCGAACCCGCGACTTCCGCCGTGACAGGGCGGCGCTCTAACCAATTGAACTACAACCCCCTAGTGCATTATATATTCTTGCTTTTCTTTGTACCACATTCTTTTATAAAAAGCAACTAGTAATCATAAAAAAATAGAATTTTTCTTAAATCTATGCCCTCACGTATAGAGCGCTTAGTTAAGCGCTCTATACATTAGCCATTAAGATGCAGATTTAGAAGTATATCCGAAAACTTGACTGAATTTTTCTTTGACTAATAGACCCGAATCAATAGATTCTAATGGATCTTTACGTAATCTATGTCGTAAGCATAATGGAATAATAGTTAATATGTCTTTAGGTGTAACTTGGTCACGTCCTCCCAATGCGGCTAATGCTTTCGCAGCACGATTAGTGACAATATCTCCTCTTAAACCATCGACATTTAGTTCTGCACAAATTTTAGATATATTTACACGCAAATCATAATCTATTTGCACTTTTGGTAGACGTTCTCTAGCTTGTTGTATTTGTTGACGCAAATTTTCTTGAGATATTTTGTATGCATCTCTAAATGTTCTAGGATCTTGGTCAAAAGTTGCTCTTTGTTCTACAATTTTGACTCTTAATTCAGCATCTTTAACAGTACCTACTTGAGCATGCATTCCAAATCTATCCAAAAGTTGAGGACGAAGTTCACCTTCTTCCGGATTGCCAGATCCAATTAAGATAAAACGAGCAGGATGTGAAATAGAAATACCTTCTCTTTCAACTGTATTCCATCCAGAAGCAGCTGCATCTAATAATACATCCACTAAATGATCATCCAATAAGTTTACTTCATCGACATATAGAATACCTCTATTTGCCTTAGCTAATAGACCGGGTTCAAAAGCTTTAACTCCTTCTGTTAAAGCTTTTTCTATATCAATAGTACCACACACTCTATCTTCAGTTGCTCCAAGGGGAAGATCAACCATAGAAATTTTAGTGTTTACAACACGAATCTCTTGGTCGCGTCGAATTTTTTCTCTTACTTCTTCACTCATTAATTCAGGATCACGAGGATCTGAATTAAATGGATCATCAACCACCACTTCAATTTCTGGTAAAAGATCTACAAGTGCCCTTACAGTAGTTGATTTCCCAGTCCCTCGATCTCCCATAATCATAACACCACCAATTTTAGGGTCAATAACATTCAACAGAAGTGCTAACTTCATTTCTTCTTGACCTACAATTGCAGTAAATGGGAATACTGGACGTTGTGTGTCTTCTACTAATTGTGTATCCATAAATAAATAGAAAATATCAATTGAATTCTGATAAATGTTTTTAGAATATCTCTGTGTATAAAGAAATATAAGAATTATGAGGAAATATTATGATTCTCATCAAAATAGTATACAAAGATGTTTGAAAAAAAATATTCCTCTTTATGAATATGATACATGAAGTAAATTCTCTTGACAAGACAAAAAAAATATTCTTCTTGTGTAACAACTATTATTCTAAACAAATGAGACTATAAAAAGACAAAGAATCATAAGAATTTTTGAAGAAATAGGAGATCCTGTTTCTTAGGCAAATTTGATTAATAATAAATTCTATTAATATGAGAAATCCCTTGCATATAAACCCAATCTTATGATATTATGTTACGTAAGCGGGTATAGTTTAGTGGTAGAAGTGCGATTCGTTTAGCTTCCCATATATTGCTAATTATGGGGTCAATTAGCTAGTCAGATTTTTTTCTGACAACTTTTTCTCTGGCAAAGAAATTCCCCTTTACTATTAATGCAATAGTTCTAGATTATCTCTAGGTGATTCATAGAAATTATTGAAAAATCAATGATATTACCTAAAGCGAGATTTCAGTTGAATCGCTTACTATAGAAAGCTAATTCTAACGCCTCGAAGTCTATGGTTAAATAATTAAGGTTCTAATTCATCGTTACTAAACTAGCAAAGAGAATTCTATCTTTGAAGAATGAGACTTCAAACATGTTTACTTGATTCACCAAGGAAATATGCATATTTCTAGAAGTCTGGTGAGTGAACCATCCTAAAGACTCAACATATCAGAGAAAAGGAACGAATTAATTGAAATGAAACCACAATGAAAAAAGTTTTTTGTTTCAATAGGATCATCTAAGATGTATACCTTGATTTATATTCAAGAGTGAACTGACGTAGATGCTAGAAGTTCCCTTTATTTGCCGTTGTCATGATTCTTTTAAGAAAAAGAAAAAGAAAAAATGATGATTTCAAAAAAGATTGACCTTCTAGAGGAGCTGGATGAAACGAAAATTTCATGTCCGGTTCTGAATTAGAGATTTAGAGTTATATACTAACTCATATCGACTATAACTTATAGCCTTCCAAGCTAATGGTGCGGGTTCGATTCCCGCTACCCGCTATATTCTCATTTTGTCAACACCCTTTTCTCTATTCCTTTTCTATTAGAAAAAATGTCCAGAACTCTTCTTATTTCTTATTATAGATTGAAATTTCCCTTTAGAAAATTAGATACTATATTCAATGGATTTGAAACGCAACGATAGACTATATATTTTTTTTCTGATATATTATGTAATATTATCGCAATACTCATTTTCTCCTTACTAAACCTATATGTAAGCGAAGCGTCCATCGTCTAACGGATAGGACAGAGGTCTTCTAAACCTCCAATATAGGTTCGATTCCTATTGGACGCAATATTAAGAGTTTATTAAAACTGTTAGTTATGAGAAAAGGTATTCTTGCATACCAAAATAGACAAAAATATATCATATGACTAAATATATGCACTTTATTTATATTTGAAAGGTCATATATTTAGTCATATAACTACTTTATCTTAAATTAACGAGCAGCAGCTCCAGATTCTTCCTGTAATAAGAAAGCTTCTGTATGTTCTTGAATAGCTTGCTTCAAAATAGCTTGTGCTTCATCTGTAAAAGTTTTCTTTTCACGAATAATTTTACCAAATTCAGGTTTATTAGTCACGATATAATGACGTAATTCAGCCAAGAATCTTCTAACTTGTGCAACTTCAATTACATCTAAATAGCCATTAACTCCAGTAAAGATAGTTGCTACTTGTTCTTCTACAGCTAAAGGTGCAGCTTGAGGCTGTTTAAGCAACTCACGTAAACGTTGTCCTCTAGCTAATTGGTTTTGAGTAGCTTTATCAAGATCAGAAGCAAATTGTGAAAAAGCTTCTAATTCTGCAAATTGAGCTAACTCTAGTTTCAATTTACCTGCAACTTGTTTCATTGCTTTAATCTGCGCTGCAGATCCTACACGAGATACTGAAATACCAACATTAATAGCAGGACGAATACCAGCATTAAATAAATCAGCTGATAAGAAAATTTGTCCGTCTGTAATAGAAATTACATTTGTTGGGATATAAGCAGAGACGTCACCAGCTTGAGTTTCAACAATAGGCAAAGCAGTCATACTACCTTCACCTAATTGATTACTTAATTTGGCAGCTCTTTCTAATAGACGAGAATGTAAGTAGAAAACGTCTCCAGGATAAGCTTCGCGTCCAGGTGGGCGTCTTAGAAGTAGAGACATTTGACGATAAGCTTGAGCTTGTTTAGACAAATCATCATATACTACTAATGTATGACGTCCTTTATACATAAAGTATTCAGCAATTGTCGCACCAGTATAAGGAGCAAGGTATTGCAAAGTAGCAGGTGAGTTAGCTGTTTCTGCTACAATTACAGTATATTCCATTGCACCACGTTCTTCGAAGGTGTTTACAACTTGAGCTACAGAAGAAGCCTTTTGTCCAATAGCTACATAGACACAGACAACATTTTGTCCTTTTTGATTTAGAATTGTATCTGTAGCTACTGCTGTTTTCCCAGTTTGACGGTCTCCAATGATCAATTCTCGTTGACCACGACCAATTGGAATCATGGCATCAATAGCAATAAGTCCTGTTTGCATTGGTTCATAAACAGAACGTCTAGAGATAATACCAGGAGCAGGAGATTCAATTAAACGATATTCAGAAGCTGGGATATCTCCTTTGCCATCAATTGGACGACCAAGTGCATTAACTACACGTCCTAGATAGCCGTCACTAACAGGAATTTGAGCGATTTTTCCAGTTGCTTTAACTGAACTACCTTCTTGGATACTCAATCCTTCTCCCATAAGTACAGCACCAACATTATCTGCCTCTAGGTTTAGAGCAATTCCAACTGTACCATCTTCAAATTCTAGTAGCTCCCCTGCCATGACTTTGTCTAGGCCATAAATACGAGCAATACCATCTCCTACTTGAAGAACAGTACCTATGTTAACAACTTTAACTTCTTGATTATATTGCTCAATCTGTTTGCGGATAATACTACTGATTTCATCAGGTCGAATATTTACCATGGACGTGGTGTGTAATCTTGAAAGTATAGCACCTATATATGTTCTTTTTTCTACTCAGCAGAATTTTCCATAGCTTTAAATAAGCCAATATGATAATCAATCATTCTAGCATGTAAATCCATATTCAAACGACTATTAATTACTTCTAAAGCTCTTTCAACTGCTAATCGAGAAACTTGTTGTCGTACTTGTACAATGGCTTTTTGTTCTTCAAAACGAATAGTCATATTTTTAGAATCTTCTAAACGTTTAGAATCCTCATCAGCAGCCTTGATTAATTCTTCTTTTTCTCTCTCAATTTGCAATATGCTATTAACACGGATTTCTTCTGCTTTTTCTTTTGCTTGTTCTAAACGAGCTCGAGCTTGATTTAGCTTTTCAGTCGCTTCTTGGTAACGTTCTTCTGCATCGCGAATGGTGCTTAATATAGTTTCTTTGCGATTATTTAAGATATTAGTTAATGAAGTAGATTGCTAATCTATGCTAATGCATTAGCTTAACTATCTCTTCCCAAACCGGACATGAATCTTCTCGATTCACCCGGCTCTCTCGTTCACCCATGTGTAATTAAAGCCCGATAAGAAACATGTATATATTCTTTTTCTTGCAACTTATAGAAAAGGCAAAAAAGACATGTTTTTTGTATCCTAAATGACTTATACACAAATGTTTGAACGTACCTTTCATTGCAAATGCGATTTCAAGGTTCTCCTGACCATTTGTTTTTGATCAGCACGGTTGTTTTCTTCGAATCACTATAAAAAATCTTAAGGTTGTCTATTTAGTATATTGTTATCAAGTGTATTTCTTGAATATATTCTGGAAGATTCTGACTGATGAATTCATTGAATGAATTCCCTTATAATCTCGATACGAGTGTTCTGTACCGAAAAAATCTCCAACAAGGTTAAGATTTGTAATTATCTTATTGAGCAAAGAAAGCTCCAGCAATACTTAGACTTCAAGCAATAGAGCCTTAACCTAGTAGATTTTTCCTCATTATAGAAAGTTAATAGTGTCTTTAACTTAATATTCAACGAAATGCTTTTGTCCATACAAAGATTCTTCTTTGTGAGTCATTCGTGAGGATCATACACTTTATAGTCAGAGTGTAGTTGGATTTTTTTCCAACCATGTCATTCAAATATTCATCCCGCACACACTCCCTTACCAAAGTAAACTAATACACCGATCACTACTGCTAAATTGATCAAATTAGTATCTAGCAAATTGGTATTGAGGCTTAGCCCCTCATTTGCCAGAGCCCAAGAATCCAACGAAGCAATCAAGTCAATTGCGCTGTTCATACCCTGTTTCTCCAATAAGGTCCATTTTCTACATAATGCTACTTATATGAGGTTTAACTAAAATGTCAGGAAATTTATATTACCTCATGATTTAAGTTCTTGGGTCTAGTACATCTTCTTATACGTATTATGTAATAGCAAATATTAGAATGAGTTTTTCAACTAGATTAATCTCCTGAATATCAGAAAAATATGTATAAAACAATATACCAAATGATGCCGATATGCATTATTTCTCATTTGTAATTTAGAGCATTCTTGTTTGAACATAGATTCTCTTATGATCAAAATGAAAAGCATACAATCGGCATCTTTCCCCCAAATAACTTGTTTTTCCCTATGCCTGTCTACTTAAAGTCAAAAATCAACTTCAGTCTTTCTATGAAACATAGTCATAGCAAAACCTATGTGCTAGACAAGCTAAAAGCTTTGTGTATAGAACTATACAAAAGGATTTGCAAATAGAAGAGCTAAAGCTACTACTAGTCCATAGATAGTCAAAGCTTCCATGAAAGCCAAACTAAGTAACAAAGTGCCTCGGATCTTACCTTCGGCTTCTGGTTGTCTTGCAATACCTTCTACAGCTTGTCCAGCAGCAGTTCCTTGTCCAATACCAGGACCAATGGAAGCTAGACCTACAGCCAACCCAGCAGCGATCACGGAAGCAGCAGAGATCAAAGGGTTCATTACTTTTCTCCTTCAAATAAGACCAAGGAGGCTGTGTATTCTACAAGTCTCCCCGTGTATGCCTAAATGTACAAACATTTTAGCAATTAGTAACTCATGATGTCTCTTGGGTGTGATAGTAGCACCAAAAAGCAATGTCAATAAACGTTTATCTTATCATACCATGTAGAACACAGTTCTACCAATTAAAGAAAAACATTTATAACTTAAACTGTCTCTAAAAAATACATAATACATATCATATAATGTATTTCTTTGCAGCTTTTGATAACAGCAACTTGAGTATTTTCTAAGATAATTAGACAATTCTCATACAGAGACAGCTAAGCTTAGAATAGGAGAATCCTATTCTAATTCTTACAAAAAATCAACTAATTATCTATATCTTTTTGTTGAAAAGATATACACAGAAGATCGTTTCTCTTGATAAAACATGATGATAATAATCATCATGAACTAAAGAAAATAGAAATAATACATTTATTTATGTGCTTGCTGTAACAGGGAAATACAAATTGTTTTTTTGATTTAGTTTCAAAAAAAATAAAGATGAACTAATTTTAGTTTCATGTTCCCTATTTTACAAATTTCTTCTAAAAGGTATTATAATCTATGTTTGCAAGTTGTCAACAATAAGAAGTTATATGTATATATTCCTTCTTCTAAGGAGATTGCAATGTTGTCAAATCCAACTTTCACTCTTTATATCAATAATTTTTTTGTATATCAGATAGAATAAATTCTATTCGAACCACAACAAATATGGGAGTAGACTACTCCCATATTTGTTTTACCAACTTGATTTAGTTACACCAGGTAATAAACAAGCATGTGCCATTTCACGCAATACATGTCTTGACAAGCCAAAGTCACGATAAACTGCTTTTGGTCTTCCTGTTACAAAACAACGACGAGTAATTCTATTAGGCGCACTATTTCGTGGCAAAGATTGCAATTCTCTATGCAATTGACATTTTTCATCAATTGATGAAACTGTCTTAATTTGTTCTTTTAATTCCTGACGACGCTCATAGTATTTAGATGCTAATCTTTCACGTTTCTTATCCCTTTCAATCATACTTTTTTTAGCCATATTGTTTATAAAAAATAAAAATAACGGAAGAAGCTTATATAGTGAATTTCAGGCTATCCCACCTCTTGAGAGGTGGGATAGCCTAAAAAACTTACTATTTTCTTAATATCTCAAAAATAGATTTTTACAAAATAGTAAGCAGTTATGATGTTGACATATCCTTAACCGAATTTACCTGAGGTAGATGCAATTAGGAAAGCAGCATAGGTAAATACATAACCTACAGAGAAATGAGCTAATCCTACTAATCTAGCTTGCACAATAGAAAGAGCTACTGGTTTATCTTTCCAACGCACAAGATTAGCTAATGGAGTACGTTCATGAGCCCAAGCTAATGTCTCGATCAATTCTTGCCAATAACCACGCCAAGAGATCAAGAACATGAAACCTGTAGCCCAAACAAGGTGTCCAAATAAGAACATCCAAGCCCATACAGACAAACTGTTCATACCGAATGGGTTGTATCCATTAATTAACTGAGATGAGTTTAACCATAGATAATCTCTAAGCCAGCCCATTAAGTAAGTAGAAGATTCATTAAATTGCGCTGCATTACCTTGCCATAAAGCTAAGTGTTTCCAATGCCAGTAGAAGGTTACCCATCCAATAGTATTTAACATCCAGAAAACAGCTAGATAAACAGCATCATAAGCAGAAATATCGCAAGTTCCACCTCTACCTGGACCGTCACAAGGGAAGCTGAATCCAAATTCCTTTTTGTCAGGCATTAATTTAGATCCACGAGCATCTAAAGCACCTTTCACAAGAATCAAGGTTGTTGTATGCAAACCTAGAGCAATTGCATGGTGTACTAAGAAATCCCCTGGGCCAATAGTCAAGAATAAAGAATTACTATTGTTATTAATAGCATCTAACCACCCTGGTAACCATAGACTTTTTCCTGCAGTAATAGTAATGCTAGAACTGGAAGAAAGTAATACATCAAATCCATATAAAGCCTTACCATGAGTAGATTGAATCCACTGAGCAAAAACAGGTTCAATTAGGATTTGTTTTTCTGGAGTACCAAAAGCCAGTACAACATCATTATGTACGTATAGACCAAGTGTATGGAAGCCCAAGAATAAGCTAGCCCAACTTAGGTGAGAAATAATAGCTTCTTTGTGTTCCAACATTCTAGCCAATACATTTCCTTTGTTTTGCTCTGGATTGTAATCTCTGATAAAGAAAATTGCACCATGAGCAAAAGCTCCTGTCATGATGAAGCCAGCAATATACTGATGGTGAGTATAAAGTGCTGCTTGAGTAGTAAAATCTTGAGCTATGAATGCATAAGAAGGTAAGGAATAGCTGTGCTGAGCTACCAAAGAAGTGATAACACCTAAACACGCTAATGCTAATCCTAATTGGAAATGAAGAGAATTATTCACTGTGTCAAATAGGCCTTGGTGACCGCCGCCCATACGACCGCTTGGAGCAATATGTGCTTCCATAATCTCTTTCATACTATGTCCAATTCCAAAGTTGGTACGATACATATGTCCAGCAACGATGAATATTACAGCAATTGCTAGATGGTGATGAGCTATATCGCTTAACCAAAGACTTTGTGTCTGTGGATGAAAACCGCCTAAGAAAGTTAAGATAGCAGTACCAGCTCCTTCTGAAGTACCAAAGATATGGCTGCTAGAATCTGGATTTTGTGCATAAACACCCCATTGGCCAGCAAAGAAAGGTGCTAAACCTTGTGGATGTGGAGCAGTAGTTAAGAAATTATCCCATCCTACATGCTGTCCTCTAGATTCAGGAATAGCTACGTGTACGATATGTCCAGCCCAAGCCAAAGAACTGGTTCCAAATAAACCAGCTAAATGGTGGTTTAAACGAGACTCAGCATTTTTGAACCAAGAAACACTAGGTTTCCACTTAGGTTGTAGATGTAACCATCCACCTACTAAAGAAACAGCAGCTAATCCTAATAGGAAAAGTGCTCCTGTGTAAAGATCTTGGTTAGAACGTAGACCTTGAGTATACCACCATTGATATACACCGGAATAGGAAATATTTACAGGACCAGAAGCGCCTCCTCGAGTATAAGCTTCTACTGCTGGTTGTCCAAAATGAGGATCCCAAATTGCATGTGCGATAGGACGAACATGCAAAGGATCTTGAGACCACGCTTCAAAATTGCCCTGCCATGCTACGTGAAACAAATTCCCAGAGGTCCACAAGAAGATAATTGCTAACTGACCAAAATGAGAAGCAAAAATCTTCTGATAAAGCCGTTCTTCGGTGATATCATCATGACTTTCGAAGTCGTGTGCAGTAGCAATTCCAAACCAAATACGGCGAGTGGTTGGGTCTTGGGATAGGCCCTGGCTAAATTTTGGAAATCTTGATGCCATAATGCTTTAAAACCCTCCTAGCCATTATCCTACTGAAATAATTCTTGCTAGGAAGAATGCCCATGTTGTGGCAATCCCACCCAGAAGGTAATGAGCTACTCCTACAGCACGCCCTTGAGTAATACTAAGAGCTCGAGGCTGGATAGCAGGAGCAACTTTAAGCTTATTATGAGCCCATAGAATGGATTCAATTAGTTCTTGCCAATAACCACGGCCACTAAACAAGAACATCAAGCTAAATGCCCATACGAAGTGAGCACCTAAGAAAACTAAACCATATGCAGATAAAGCAGATCCATAAGATTGAATTACTTGAGATGCTTGTGCCCATAAGAAATCACGCAACCATCCATTAATGGTAGTTGCACTTTGAGCAAAGTTCCCTCCAGTAATATGAGATACTCCTTGAGCATTTACAGTTCCCCATACATCTGATTGCATCTTCCAACTAAAATGGAAAATTACTACAGAAATAGAGTTATACATCCAGAATAGACCCAAGAATACATGGTCCCAAGCAGAAACTTGGCAAGTACCACCACGTCCTGGACCATCACAAGGGAAGCGGAAGCCTAAATTAGCTTTATCTGGGATTAGTCGAGAACTACGAGCAAATAATACACCCTTCAAAAGAATCAAAACAGTAACGTGAATAGTAAATGCATGAATATGGTGCACTAGGAAATCAGCTGTTCCTAATGGAATAGGAGACATTGCTACTTTCCCACCTACTGCTACTAATTCACTACCACCCCAAGTGATACTGCTAGCGGCAGCTGCATTAGGTGCTGTGAAACCAGGTGCTGCAGCGTTAGTATTTTGAACCCATTGAGCAAACACAGGCTGAAGTTGAATAGCTGTGTCAGAGAACATATCTTGAGGACGACCTAAGGCACTCATAGTATCGTTATGAATATACAAACCAAAACTATGGAATCCTAGGAAGATACATACCCAGTTAAGATGAGAAATAATTGCATCTCTATGACGTAGAACACGATCTAATAGATTGTTATACTGAGTAGTTGGATCGTAATCTCTTACCAAATAGATAGCTGCATGAGCACCAGCCCCTACAACGCAGAATCCACCAATCCACATGTGGTGTGTGAATAAGGATAACTGAGTACCATAATCAGTTGCTAAATATGGGTAAGGAGGCATAGCATACATATGATGTGCTATGATAATTGTTAAAGATCCAAAAGTAGCTAAGTTTAATGCTAATTGAGCATGCCAAGAAGTGGTCAAAATTTCATAAAGTCCTTTGTGACCTTCACCAGTCATAGGCCCTTTGTGAGCTTCTAACATTTCTTTCATGCTATGACCAATTCCCCAGTTAGTTCTATACATATGTCCTGCTACTAGGAAAAGGACTGCAATTGCTACGTGGTGGTGAACTGTATCAGTTAACCATAAACCTCCTGTAACTGGATTTAGACCGCCACGGAAAGTTAAGAAATCAGAATACTCTGCCCAGTTTAAGGTAAAGAAAGGAGTTACACCTTTCGCAAAGCTAGGATATAACTGAGCTAATAAGTCTCTGTTAAATATAAATTCGTGAGGCAAAGGAATTTCTTTAGGGTCAACTCCTGCATCTAACAATTGGTTGATAGGCAAAGATACATGAATTTGGTGTCCAGCCCAACCCAAAGATCCTAAGCCTATTAGACCGCCTAAATGGTGGTTCATCATAGATTCTGCATCTTGGAACCAAGCCAATTTAGGTGCAGCTTTATGATAATGGAACCAACCAGCGATAAACATTAAGCCTGCCATTAATAAACCACCAATTGCAGTGGAATATAACTCTAGTTCAGTAGTGATTCCAGAAGAACGCCACATTTGGAATAAACCAGAGGTAATTTGAACTCCCTGGAATCCACCACCTACGTCGCCGTTCAAAATTTCTTGACCTACAATTGGCCAAACAACTTGAGCACTAGGTTTGATGTGGGTTGGATCACTTAACCATGCTTCATAATTGGAAAAGCGTGCACCATGAAAATACATTCCGCTTAACCAAATGAATATGACAGCTAATTGACCAAAGTGTGCACTAAAAACCTTACGAGAAATTTCTTCTAGATCACTAGTGTGGCTATCAAAATCGTGAACATCAGCATGCAGGTTCCAAATCCAAGTGGTTGTAGTAGGACCTTTTGCTAACGCACGAGAGAAATGACCTGGCTTAGCCCATTTTTCAAAAGAGGTTTTTACAGGATCATTGTCTACCACAATCTTGACTTCTGGTTCCGGTGAACGAATAGTCATTGAGATTCTCCTCTCTTCAGACGAGACAAAGGAAACACCTGCCCAAAATCATGAATCAGCTTCTGAGAGGGTAATATTTTAGAATTGCTACCCACTTTATTAAGTCTGTAACTAGAACAACTATGATACAGAAGTGACCCAGGACAGACTCCTAAATATATTATGACACACATTTAAGGTGCTTAATGGACCAATACATAAATAAGTGAAAGTTAGGAATTTAACCTGTATATTTACTAGGCAAGTAATAAAAAATGCGAAGTGAAGCAAATAATGGAAACTTTGCTATATTTTATATATTTTTATTTTATATCAAACATAAAGGACATTCTGATCAATTTGTTCGCCATACAACATACAAAAAAGAGAAAATATAGCAAACTACAACCGTGCGCAGGATTCCTGCGCACAGTTGTTATATATGCAGCTTGCCTCTAAAACAAGATTGTTTAGCCAACGAAAGGAGCTTCAACAGATGCTAAGTCTAGAGGGAAGTTGTGAGCGTTACGCTCGTGCATAACTTCCATACCTAGGTTAGCACGGTTGATGATATCAGCCCAAGTGTTGATTACACGACCTTGGCTATCAACTACGGATTGGTTGAAGTTGAAACCGTTTAGGTTGAATGCCATAGTACTGATACCTAAAGCAGTAAACCAAATACCTACTACAGGCCAAGCAGCCAAGAAGAAGTGTAGAGAACGAGAGTTGTTGAAACTAGCATATTGGAAGATTAGACGTCCAAAGTAGCCGTGAGCTGCAACAATGTTGTAAGTTTCTACTTCTTGACCAAACTTGTAACCAGCGTTAGCAGATTCGTTTTCGGTGGT